TTCTCACACCTCCAAACAGATTAATTTATTCCTTGTTTGGGCCAAAAATAGCTCTTTGGGTCACACACTTATACACTATAGTGCCAAAAGTGTGTGGCCCCCCCTGCCCCCACCTGTGTGGCCTGCACAGAGCCGTGACCTCAACTTCATCCAACACCTTAGGGATTAACAGAAAGGCCGACTGAGCCGAACCTTATCAGCCAGCATCAGTGTTGGACCTCCCTGATGCTCTTGTGTCTGAATATAAGCAAATCCCCGCAGCCAGATTCAACATCTGGTGGACAGACTGAAACCAGACGAGTGGAGGCTGTTCAGGTTTTGTCCATTTAAGACATTCCCTTTATGTTCAGAAGAGATTACATCAGAGAGAACAACTTTAACCCTTCCACACATCTGGTATGTTGAGGTATTTTATTGTCTTTTCCCACATTATCTGACATTTAGGATACTTTCATAAAAGAATTTGCTTCCTCTTTTTACCAATGTGTGAATTCTTGTTGATAAGGCCTGTCCCATGTACCAGCAGCCTGCTTTTGCCCAAATTTGGAGGATGTTGCTTTGTTCCTGCTTGAAACATGTTGAGTAATTTTGTGTCAAGATGGTCATGACAAGGAAACCAAGGGCGACAAGAAAAACATCGAGATCTTTAAAACTGCCAACAAATCTCACACTTTTATTGCATCCTTTCTTTATTTCTTACCTTTTTTCTGCAACTGCAGGAAACAATACCTTAATTTTTACTTCCTCTTGAGCTTCCTCTGCTAATAAATGAGCTGCAGATGAATTGTGGGACTTTTGTTTACCGCCGGTTTCCAGCAGAGCTCCAGCTGAGGAAAGGGAACTGCGGTTGTGACCTCAGAAACCGGACACAGCTTCCAAATACACAGACGCAGCAGTAAAAAATGTCTTCAGGCTTTTAGATCACGACTGCATCTGTTTCTTACAAAGATATCAACTGCAGATTCAGACATCCACCCTGGCCCTGTTTTCCTCCGTTTGTCTGTCTGTGTGTCTGTCTGACTGTCTGGCCTGGGCTAAACCGACCGTCTCAGCGTCGCATCTAAATGACCCCTGTCACCAGCGCGTCGGCAGCTCGCGGCCAGACACTGGTGGAGCGAAATTGGACGTGGCGGGCGTCCGCTGTCCCCAGCCACAACAGGTGACAGGGTGGAGAGAGAAGAGAGAGCGGGAGGATGAGAGAGAAGAGAGAGAGAGAGACGAGAGAGAGGACAGAGAGGAGGGAGAGAGAGAGGAGGGGGAGATGAGGAGAGAGAGAGAGAGAGAGAGAGAGGGGCAGAGGACGGAGGAGAGGAGAGGGAGAGGGAGAGAGGAGAGAGGGCCAGGAAGAGAGAGGAGAGGCATAGAGAGGAGGACGACGAGGGGCAAAGAGAGGAGAGAGAGAGGCAGAGAGAGAGGAGGAGGAGAGAGAGCGGAGAGGAACGGAGAGAGAGGCGAGGGAGGGAGGTAGAGAGAGTGGGCAGCCCTGCAGTCAGCGACGCTGGGTGGCAGGCCAGACGAGGAGACGGGACAAAGTCGGCTCTAAACTCCAGCTAACCCCAAAAAAGAGCCACAGGGGGGTGAGAGCCAAGACACACATCACCAGCACCATGCAGGCGGATCCACTGAGGACACACAGTCTAGACTGCCTCTAATTGGTTAGAGCTGAGCATGTAGTAAAATGAGATACCATTTAAACAACGCCTCGCTTGATCTGGGTTTATGGTTAAGCCCAGAAGCTGTTTAAAGGTTCAATTATTCAGATTTTTTTTTATCTAGAATTGTTAGAATTTCAAGAGTTCTTTTTTTTCACTGAAATTTAATCATATATGATTTAATTAAAATAGACTCTGTTAAATGCATTTTAAATTAAATCAATTAATTCAATATATTTTTGTTCTATTTATAGCGTATTAATTTTAAATTAGCATTACTTATTTTATTTAAAAAACATATATACATTCAAATAAATTCTATTTAATTCATTTTTTATTTTAAATATATGAAAATCATATATAAAATCATATAATAAAATTTAAACCAATCAACTTTTGTTGAAGTTTAAATTAAAAACGTTAATCTATATTCTTGAACATATTAAAAATTCAAGTTACGGGTGCCCGGTGGGGCCCGGTTATCTCAGTGGGGTGAGCTGGGACGCTGTTACCGACGGGCTTAGTTTTGCTGCCAGCAGCTAGGGTTCGAATCCAACCTGCCGGCGCTTTGTCTGCCCGTGTAATCTCTCTGCCTTTTCCTGTTTCTCTTTGACTGTCACTTATCATGAAAGGCAAAAAAGGGCCAAAAAAATACTTAAAAAAAAAAAAAAAAATTCAAGTTACGATTTTTTATGTATTCAAATATTTATATCAATATTCAATTACAGTACATAACATATTCAGAAAAATCTATTATCTTAATTAATAAAAAAATATTATATTTTGTATATATCATATACATATATTATTTATTTACTTATATCAGAATTCATTAAATTAACAAATATAGTAAAATATTGAATAATAAAGAATTAGATCAGCCCCTTACTGTAGAAAACACACATATTCACCTCCTCACAGTCTAATGTCACACACACACACACACACACACACACACACTCGCTGAGTGTTTGAGACAAGCCCTTGATCACGTCTCGCACTTGAGGAAAAAAAAAAAAACCCGGTGAGAGATATTCTTGTAATTTTCTCCTCGCCGTCAGTTTTTCTCTCATTGATGGGAGCTGACAGAACTGGGACTGCAACACAAACGCGAAGAGGCCGAGCACCTACGAGTCTGAACTCTGTTGTACTGTCTCATCTCGTTCAGACTCTGGACTGTTTAAGATTCACGTAAAGAGCGGCGCCAGCGCTGTTTTTCTAGCCTCAACAGTCCCTAAAGATTTACTGAGAAAAGTAAAGACAGTGAGGAGGTTGCTGAAGGCTGTGGAGCTCAAACATGTTCCTCCTGACGGCTGAATACAATAATGTTATTGTTCAGTTTTCCAGATTTATTCTAAACAGAAGCTACTACTAATTTATTCTGTTTGTTCTCAACAGGGAATCATGGTAATGTTAGTACCTGTTGTCTTAAAGTACATCTTTGTGGTTCTGGTTATTATTTTATGTATTTTCTAAACATGCAGAGCAAACATGACTTTAGATGAATTGTCAGTTCACCAAAAGTTCACCATATCAACTTAAAAGGTATTGATGTGTCAGTGTCATGTTCACAAGTTGTTTCCGCTGCCCCCAAGTGGCCAAAAAAAGATGAAAAGTTTCCTTTATTCTTTTGGACCATCGGTTGGGTCTTGATGGAAGGAGCTTCTCCCTTGATAAATTCTCATTTCTGGCCTGATGAGCAGTGAACAATTTTTAAATGTTCAACATTTTGGTTTAGTGCAGGGTTCGAGTTTCATGGGAGCCCCGATAAGGAGTGGTCTGAGCTCCCATGAAAGCAGTACAATCATACCTCTGTGGTGGTCTCTAATACATTACCACAACCATCATTTGGTTGTGGTAATGTATAAGAGACCAATAATGATAAATAATACATTCTTCAATGTAATGAGTATAATTTCCATTAACATTACATTATGTTAACTACCACTTTCTTAGATTCTGCTGGCTTTGTATTAGATTTATAACTCATAAACTGATTCATAAACCCTGGTTTAGTGTGTTAGCATGCGGCCCATATGCAAACTATCTACATCTCTATTAATTAGCACTAAACACAAAGTTGGAGGTTGATGCGAATGTCATTATTTTTGCAGGTATTTGATCATAAAAGTATTGCTAATTATTAGTATTTACAGTATTTACAGTAGTAGTATTTAGTTACATTTTGACTTGATGGTGGCACTAGAGGAGCACTCAGAGAATCACCAAAGTCAGTAGGATTCCTCCTCTTGGGACCATCAACGTCTGTACAAAATGTCATGGTAATCCATCCAATAATTATCGAGCTATTTCAAAATGGTGGACTGAAGAAACATAAAACCTGCATGGTTTCATTCCACACAACCAGCAACATAAATGTGTCAAAGGAAAGGAAATACTGGTGGTTTATAATACAGTATAATATATATCAAATTATCAGCTAACACTGACTATTAAAAATACTCTTCATCAACATCATTGGTCCATTCATCAGCAGCACTGCTATGCACCAGATTTTGTGTTTCGGTGTGACGGGCTTGTGCTCAGTTGCACTAGTGGGCTGAAACAAGATGGCTGCTGCCCACCTCACTGATTAAAAAAACATGCTCAGTAGGCAGCAGATCTGACTGTGAACTTTCAGTGTGGTTCACACTGATCTATAATTCACACTGCATATTTGCATCAGGAAATTCCAGCAGTTAATAATTGACTCTTGCATACAATATCAGAAATGCCTCAGCTGAAGTCAAGACTGGTGAAACAGTCACAGGAATGCCACGTTTTGTACTTTTTTTTTTCTCAGGATTTACTGCTCCGTACCTGCTGTGCACAGTCTCTCGGTAAACAAGCCTAAAGCGGCTGAGGAAAAAACTCACTTTCATTCAAAGCCAAGAGTCATTATTTAACAAAACCACAAGTGATATCGCAGTTAAAATGTTCCTGTTTTGCAAGCACAGGTGTTGATATAGATGACAAAACTTAACAGTGGTCTGCAATCTTCTCTTCTTTCATGGCAATTACTTTGCAGTTACAGGTGCCAGTTTACTATCTGAGCCTGAAATGAAATTGTTTGGCTATTAAAATCTCATAACAAAATGTTATCAGTCTGTCGTGCCTTTAGGATGAAATCTGTCTCCTCCACGGATAACAAGACAGGTTGGTGGAAGAAATATGGTTGGATTGTCCCTTTATCTGCCCTCGCCAAATGATTTTCAAATCCACAAGGACGACTGAGCGAGTGAGTGGATTTTGGGATTCAGCAGAGAGCGAGCTGAGATTGCTGAGTCCATTCCCGCCCCGCCGGGGTACATATCAGATAACGTTGTCGCTTTCAGTTTGAGCTGTAATTTCCTGGAAGACGAGGCGCGATGTGACAGATGGCGCTCATGGTGAAAGAGCTGCCGAGGACGAGGACATGTTGCACCGTCGTCAAACCTCCGGCGGGACACGAGGAGGGGCCAGCCGCCACTTCCACTTTCGTTTTCTTGCACTTTTGCTGCAGAAACACTGACTGTAAGACACATCAAACCCGGGTCGAAGACATGAGTCCAGCATTTGTAAAGTCATGTTAGGGTTTATGGTGAGCTCTTTCTTTGCAGATATAAAGTACTTAAATTGATCTGTTTGTGCGTCTTTCATTAATTAATTAAAGGTTTGTTAGTGTGCTCCCGAATCCACAAACGTATTCCCGGCTTCCTGCTGATGCTTGAAAACATAAACTGTGAGGACATTTACAGGACCTCGTGGATGTGAGGGTGATAAATTAAATCAGCCAGTGTCTTTAAAGCTGCATACATTTGTTTTGGGCCACTACGGGGCTGAATAACATGTTGACAGATACAGCCACCACCATAAAGTTGTTACAGCTACCATGTTAGCAAAAGTTTGCCTATTTACTTGCAGACACAGAGCAACATGACCATCCAATTAGAGACGTGTGTGTGCCCATCTGATGAACTGAGGTGCATTAGCGCTGCCCCCTAATAGTCGACAAAACCGGTGTTGAGAAGAGTCTAAGTTGACTTTTCATTAGAGTCTGGGATTGTTACAATATGGACCTGTTGCATGTGCTAACTGTAGTAGCTGCTGTCATTAGTGGTCCTACAAGACCAACAGAGGGCAGCTAATTTACAGCGGCTCCGACCAGGACTCTGCTCCCAGAGAGGCAGCGACTGGAAAGACATAAAATGGGACAGGTCAAGTTTGTTGAGGTAATTTGTAAGTAACTGTTGGCGTAATACAGCATCCATCAAATCCACCGATGCCTGAAATGGGCCAGTGCTGACAGTACTGAGTACGTAAGTAAGTAAAACTTTATTTATATAGCACCTTTATACCTGCACTTCTGATATTTGTCCATGAGTACCCTCACTTCTTATTGCATACCACCACCTCTGGTGAGCATGGACCCATTGCTATTCTATATAAACACAGCTAGCTAAATGCTAAGAAAACAACACTGAAAATGTCCTTGTGAAAATGGATTGAAAACAGCTG